TGCGTCTGTCTGTCTGACCATGTTAAATTGTAAGCAAAGAATAGGTCGCATTTATGATTCGAATTGTGTGAAATTTGGCACAGCTCATTTATTTGGCCCAAAGACGAACCCTATTGAAATTGAAGAAAATCGGATCAAATTTGGATATAGCTCCCGTATGTAGCTTCCTCCGATTTTATGTAAACGGTGCATCAAAGTCCCATATATCTTTCGAGTTGCACAAAATTTTGCATAGTGTACTGAATTGAGGCTTGAATGACTTGTGTTAAGTTTCGAGGAAATCGGTTCAGATTTAGATATAGCTCCCATATATAGTTTTGTCCGATTTTTGTAAATGGTGAACCAAAGTACTTATATATCTTTCGATTTGCACAAAATTTGGCATAGCGTACTGAATTAAGTCTTGAATGATGTGTGCTAAGTTTCGTGAAAATGAAGCTCCCATATATAGTTTCGACCGATTTTAGGTAAATGGTGTACCAAAGTCCCTGCAAATCATTAAATTTTCACGAATTTTGGGACAACGTACTGAATTAAGTCTAGAAAGATTTGTGCTAAGTTTCGTGAAAATCGGTGTAGATTTGGATATAGCTTCCATATAGAGTTTCGACCGATTTTAGGTAAATGGTGCACCAAAGTCTCTGAAAATCGTGAGATTTGTACGAATTTTGGCATAGCGTACTGAATTATGTGTAAAATGGCGTGGCGTGCGGGAAACCCGGTTCAGATTTAGATATAGCTCCCATCAGGGACGTAAGCAGGGGGGCGGCCCGGGGGGCCCGGGCCCCCCCGAAATGAATTTTTTTCACAGTAAATTTATGTATGCAACAGCGAATTTTTTTATTTTTACTACCGGGCCCCCCCCCCCCCCCCCGAAATGAAATCTTGTGTACGTTGCTGGCTCCCATATATAGTTTCGCCCGATTTTAGGTAAATGTACACAATGCGTGCATTTGGCGTGGTTTTTTTAATTAATATTTTTTCAAGGTCTATAGAAGGCGTGGATTTTTTTTAAAGAGTATTTTGTCAAGGTCTTTCCATGGCGTGGATTTTTTAAAGAATATTTTTTAAGGTCTATCCTAGGCGTGGATTTTTAAATGAACATTTTTCGAGGTCTGTATAGGGCGTATTTTTTTAAAGAATGGTTTTCAAGCGCCAGGGTCTGTAGAGGGTGTATTTTTTAAAAGAATTTTTTTCAAGGGTCAGGGTCTGTAGAGGGCGTTTCTTTTAAAGAATGTTTTTCAAGGCCAGGGTCTGTAGATTGCGTATTTTTTTAAAGAACGTTTTTCAATGGTCAAGATCTGTAGAGAGCGTGGATTTTTAATAAATATTTTGTCAAGGCCTATAGAATCTAATAATTACATTTGCTCGGCTTCTGTGTAGTTTTTTTTAGATTGTCCTCAGATTCGAACGATTTTTCTTTAGAAAATAATTGATATTCATCTTCTAAGTATTTCTTATTGAAAAAGAAAATGTTTATTAGATTCTAAGAATTTTTTTCGGTCAATTGTTTTTTTTTCTTCAAGAAATAAATCATACCCCTAAAAGTATGCATCATAAAATATTCATTTCCACTAAATGTCCACAAAGTTAATGTTTGATTTAATAACAATTAGCGTAGGATGAGGGTTGGTTGGTTAGTTGGTTGGCTGATGATTCCCTCAGCTCTCCTGATGACACAAAGAACTATTACTGCTTTTGACATTTCAGTTTCGAGTTTTGTTCTTCCTTGACATCAATTTAAGTTAGTTAGGATGTGGGAGTATAGACAATAAAACATTCCAAATTACTCAACGAGACAGAGTAGAAGACAATACACTTTCATCATCAAATCATTATTTGACGACAGACATACACACACACACACTTCTCTTGTATTCCAATTTAATGAAACAAAAGTCACCATAACAATACAAAAAATTAGAAGCCATAGTGATGCTGTTTAAGTTATTCGACAGCGTAAATGTCACGCGTCATAAAACTTTATTTTTTAAAGGGACGGACACGTTTTTAATTCATTTCAATACTATGGGAAATTTAAACATTTTCTAAAAATTGGTTGCATTGAGAACATTTAAGAGTTAATTTCTAGGACCTCCAGAAAAAATAGGACCATCTATATATTTATATTTTTTAATTCAGAATTTTTGTATTGTTCTTAAATTTATTTCGCTAAATTAAATAGGCCATATAACGATTACCACTACGTTATTCACTTCTAAACAAAATTTCTATAAACATAAAAATTGTAATTGTTTTATCTTCATTGTATGTAAATCGCAATTTATGGCTCGCAATTTATGATGACTGCAACGCAGCATGCGACCTACATTCACATCAAATCCTCTTTTGTCTCTGTTAAATTGATGGCACTTCATTATCATTGTGGTTGACTCTGAATGCTGTGACACACACACGCATCCTTGTCACCAGAGAACAGCGTTAACCAAATATAAATATTTTAGACATGATTTGAGCCAAAAAAATTATGAGGCGGATGTTAGAATAAATAATAACAGTCAGAAGCTGGGGTATACATTTTTTATAACAGTAACAAATTTTGTCTGTTGTAAAATTTTTTTTTTCTATAAAAAAATTCTCCGAAGATGAGGACTGATTTAAAAAAAACAGTCGAAGCTGAGGACCGATTTTTTTGTTATAGAAAATAATTGCTTTATAAACTGAGGACTAACTTTTTTCTATAGCTGAGGACCAATTTTTTTCTATAGAAAGAATTTGTCAGAAGTTGAGTAACAATTTTTTTTTCTATGGAAAGAATTTCTCAGAATGCTGAGTACAAATTTTTTTTATAGAAAAAATTGCTTCAGAAGCTAAAGACGAAATTTTTTTCTACAGAAAAAAATTGCCTCAGAAGCTAAGAACCAAACTTTTTTTTTATAAAAAAATTGCCTCAGATGCTGAGGATTTAAAAAAATGATTCGAAAATAATTCTCAGAAGTTAAGGTCTATTCGTTTTTTTGTAGAAAAAATACTCAGAAGCTACCTCAGAAAACTGAGGTCAACATTTTTTATATAGAAAAAATTTCTGGATAAGGGTCATTTTTTCTATAGGAAAAAATCCTCAGAAATTGAGAACCAATTTTTTCTATAGGAAAGAAATCCTCAGAAGTTGAGAACCAATTTTTTCTACAAAACTTATTTCTATAGAAAAAAGTCTTGACCCAATTTTTTCTATTAGAAAAAAGCATTAGAAGCTGAGGAGCGATTTTTGTCTGTGGAAAAAAACATAAATTTAAATCCAGTCCTATTTGTGGTCCCTGTAAAAAAGTATCCTTTAAATATTCTACCTATTCTACCCCATGTCTGGGCCTTGAGAGATACCTAAAAAAATATTTTTTAACAATTTATGACTGTGATATTCCCTGAAAAAATATATATATATATAAATATTCTTTACAAAATTCAAGCCTTGTGAAGGTCCTTGAAAAAAATGCACGCCACAGATATTCCCTGAAAATATTCTTTAAAAATCCACGTTACTGATTTTTCGTGAATAAAACAATTTTTTTAAAGTCCACGCCTCAGATATTCCCTGAAAAAACGTCTTTTAAAAATCCACGCCACAGATATCGCCTGAAAAAATAATCTTTCACCTTTTAGAATGCACGCATTCTCCTCGGTGCCCTTTAGAATCCACGCATTCTCCTCGGTACCCTTTAAAATCCACGCCTTCGCCTCGGTCCCTGAAAAAATAATCCTTTAAAATCCAGACCTCCGATATACCCTTTAAAATCCACGCCTTCGCCTCGGTCCCTGAAAAAATAATCCTTTAAAATCCAGACCTCCGATATACCCTTTAAAATCCACGCCTTCGCCTCGGTCCCTGAAAAAATAATCCTTTAAAATCCAGACCTCCGATATACCCTTTAAAATCCACGCCTTCGCCTCGGTCCCTGAAAAATATCCTTAAAAAAACCCACGCCTTCTCCTCGGTCCCTGAAAAAATATCCTTAAAAAAACCCACGCCTTCTCCTCGGTCCCTGAAAAAATATCCTTAAAAAATCCACGCCTTCTCCTCGGTCCCTGAAAAAATATGCTTAAAAAATCCACGCCTTCTCCTCGGTCCCTGAAAAAATATCCTTAAAAAATCCACGCCTTCTCCTCGGTCCCTGAAAAAATATGCCTAAAAAATCCACGCCTTCTCCTCGGTCGCTGAAAAAATATCCTTAAAAAATCCACGCCTTCTCCTCGGTCCCTGAAAAATATCCTTAAAAAATCCACGCCTTCTCCTCGGTCCCTGAAAAAATATCCTTAAAAGATCCACGCCTTCTCCTCGGTCCCTGAAAAAATATCATTAAAAGATCCACGCCTTCTCCTCGGTCCCTGAAAAATATCCTTAAAAAATCCACGCCTTCTCCTCGTTCCCTTAAAAAATCCACGCTTTCTCCTCGGTCCCTGAAAAATATCCTTAAAAATCCACGCCTTCTCCTCGGTCCCTGAAAAAATATCCTTAAAAAATCCACGCCTTCTCCTCGGTCCCTGAAAAAATATTCTTAAAAAATTCACGCTTTCTCCTCGGTCCCTGAAAAATATCCTTAAAAAATCCTTGCCTTCGCCTTGGTCCCTGAAAAAATATCCTTAAAAAATCCACGCCTTTTTTGGCCCTTGGAAAACTATTCTTTTAAAATGTTCACCTTCTGTGGGCCCTTGACAAACTATTCTCTAAAAAACCACGCCTTGTGTGGGTCCCTGAAAAAATATTCTTTAAAAATTTTATTTTTCAGCTCCACTAGGCCTTGTCTATGCCGAAAACTTATATTTTTCATATTCTGAATACAAAAACAGATTGTTATAAATTTATTGCCCAAATCATTGCAATGAGATACCCCGACTAAATGGCAAATGCATACAAAAAAAAACTTCAAGTGTCTCTGAAATATCCAGCAGCGGATAACGGATTTCTGCATATCCATTTCCCCCTATTCACCTTATTTCATTTGTTGATGTGTTTGTTGCTTTTTTATTATATCTTTGTTTAGTGCTACTCGAGGATTCTCTGTGGATACATCACCACCGGCAAATGAAAAACCACCCGAAATAAATTTCTCTGCTGCCACAGCGACAACAACAACATCGGCAGCAGCAAATGTTCCCACATCGTCATCACCTTCAGTGCCTGAACAAGATGAATATCAAACAGCATCCAGTACGGTTAGTGATTTTGGCAATGGTAATGGGAGCGGAGGTGTTGGCGGAGACGGGGTTTGTGGTACCAACAGTGGTCGAGGGAGCTATAGCGGTGATGGCAGTGTTGTCGGTGTGGCCAGTAAAAGTTCATCACTCCGTGATTCCATAGACTATGATGCCCTGTACGAGGAAGAAGAAGATTCAACCATTAGCATGGAGGCGCACGGTTCAATGATTTCACATTTACTATCACAAGTTAAAATAGGTATGGACCTAACGAAGGTGGTGCTGCCAACATTTATATTAGAACGACGTTCGTTGTTGGAAATGTATGCCGATTATTTTGCCCATCCGGATTTATTTGTAAAGTGAGTGTGTGTGTGCATAATAATCTCTTGGTATGAATAATGATTTTTTGTTTTTGTATTTTTTTCATATTGCCCTTTTGCAGAATTGCCGATTTAGATAATCCACGTGATCGTATTGTACAGGTATGCCGTTGGTATTTAAGTGCTTATCATGCTGGACGTAAAAGTGCTGTGGCCAAAAAACCCTACAATCCTATATTAGGTGAAATTTTTCAATGCTATTGGGATATTCCTGGTAGGTACCATATTTTCCCCCTTTATACAATTCAGTATTGAATTTATTTAATGATGAATTTAATTCCATTTGCAGGTGAAACACCCAATGAAGAGAATGTTAGCGACGGACCGGTGCCCTGGTGTCGTAAAAATCAATTAACATTTTTAGCCGAACAGGTTTCACATCATCCGCCAAGTGAGTTGAAAATTTCTTGTATAGAAAAAACATCCCAATAAGGAACGAATACTCTTCCATAGAAAAAATCATCCGTCACTGCAGAGGGGACTGAGACCTGCGGACTTTTTTCTAACATAAAAAAAGTCTTAATCCCTGAGGCTATTTTTTCTATAGAAAAAATTGTCCTCAACTACTGAGGATATTTTTTATAGAAAAAAATCGGTCTTCAGATTCTAAGGAATTTCTGACCGGTCATCAATTTCTAAGGCAATTTTTCTATTGAAAAAAATTCTGAGGCTTTTTTCTATAGAAAAAATCTCTGCCCTCAGATTTACGGATTGTTTCCAGCAAAAAAATCCGCACCTCAGCTTCTGAGGACTTTTTTTTTTGGAAAAAAAATTGCTCCTCAGTTTCTAATTTTTTTCTATAGAAAAATTCGGTCCTTTGGTCCTGAGGATTTTTTCTATAAAAAAAAAGTTGGTCTTTAGCTTCTGGGGATTTTGTTGCTATAGAAAAGAATTCGGTCCTCAAATTCTGAGGCCTTTTTTAGGGTTTTTTTTATAGAGATAATTTTTTTCTGAGTTAATTTTGTTTATAGAAAAAATTCAGGCAATTTTTATATATAAAAAATTCAGACCACAGCAATTGAGACAATTTTTGTTCTATAAAAAGAATTGGTCCTCAACTTCTGGGGCTATTTTTTCTTTTGCGGAAAAAAGTCAGTCATCTTCAGAGGCAACTTTTTTCCTACAAAAAAATTTGGTCCTTCTGAGGCTATTTTTCCTATAAAAAATTTGGTCCTCAGCTTCTGAGGCAATTTTTTCTATAGAAAAAATGTGGTCTTCAGCTTCTGAGGCAATTTTTTCTATAGACAAAATTCGGTCCTCAGCTTTTGAGACAATTTTTCTATTGGAAAAATTCGGTCCTCCGCTTCTGGGGCAATTTTTTCTATAGAAAAAATTCGGTCCTCATCTTCTATGCTATATGTTTATAGAAAAAAATACATCTCAGATTCTGAGGATTTTTTCCAAAGGAAAAAAATTGGAACTCAGCTTTTGAGGCACTTTTCTTCTATAGGTAAAATGGCGGACCTCAGCTTCTTAAGGCCTTTTTCTTTTTAATAATTATTATTTCTATAAAAAAAAAAAAAAATTCTACACAAAAATAAATTAGCTCAAAAGATAGGAAAAATGTTCAACGATTTCTCTGGATGGGTATCCTGTTTCTAAGGATTTTTTTTCTGTAGAAAAAAGGATTTTCCCAAGAGGAAAATTTGGCCCTGTGAAACATTTTTTATTTATATTTTCTATTTTTTTTAAAAATTAATTTTCAAAAATGTCTTTATCTCTTCCCCACCTTAGTTTCCGCATTCTATGCCGAACACTATAACAAGAAGATCACATTCTCAGCCCATGTATGGACAAAATCGAAATTCTTGGGTCTATCGGTGGGTGTGCACAATATAGGTGAAGGTGTTGTAACGCTTGTGGATCATGGCGAAGAATATATTGTTACATTTCCTAATGGCTACGGAAGGTGAGTACACGATTTTTATCTTTTTATTCTTAGATAAATTTGTTAAAAAAATACATTTTTATTGCATTTTCTCTCACAGATCCATTTTAACAGTACCCTGGATAGAATTGGGCGGTTCAGTGGAAATTAAATGTCCACAGACGGGTTATTATGCCAATGTAGAGTTTCTCACAAAACCATTTTATGGTGGTAAACGTAACAAAGTTACAGCTGAGGTGGGTTTAGTTTTGTATTTTCCAATTACTATTTGAATTTTTATTAATATTATGAATTTTTGTTTTGTTTTTAATGTCCAGATTTATTCACCAAACGAAAAGAAACCATTTGTTTCAATAGCCGGCGAATGGAGTGGCCTAATGGAAGCCAAATGGCATGATACAAATGTAATGTATATGATTCTATTTATTGTTTTGTCGTCTTCTGTAACTTCCGATTTGTGTAACATTGTTGTATTTGGTCCATTTATAATAATTTGAAATAATATTTTGTGGAAAATCTCCACTGAATCAATATCCAAATTTTAATCAAATTATATTATAAATGGACTGCATAGATTGTGTGTGTATATGTGTTTCATAAGTATACGTTTCACAGATTTAAAAAAAAACGGTTCGAATGACAATACTGTTCCAAAAAAGACATCCTTCAAAGCCCTTGTCATCTTTAGCCCTCCAAAAATTATTTTAAAAAATTGTCTCCTGTCTTTAGCCCTTGAAAAACTTATTTTAAAAAATTCACACGTTTCCAAGTACACAATAAATTATGTACAAAAAATTAGACGAGTCATTTCGAATCGTTTTTTTTTCAGATAAAATAAAGTATTTGCTTTTTTAATTAATTATTAAAATTGTTTAGTATGTATGTGTTGTATGTTTGGTGTTTTTGTTCAAGTATTACACATTAATTTACTAACAATTTTATGCCTTCTGTATTTTATTGTGTGCTCTCTTATACATACATTTTGCTTTAATACTATTTATATCCTCTTCTATATCCTACTGAGTTGTTATTCCAAACCGAAACCCGAAAAAAAGGAAACAACAACAATCACACTCTATATCTGTCACTCTAATAAAAACTACTCAAATCACCTGTAACCACAACCGGTCCTGTATACTGTCGATTACTTGTACTTCTCTCTTAAATATTCTGGTCAAATGTCTATGTTTATCTAGAAAATTAAATCTTTTTTCCCAATACTAAAAGGAAAACCTATCCTAATCATTTTCGGTTCCCAAAATTATATGTTACGTATATTTGAAATGTTTTATTTTTATTTATTGTTATTTTTTTTAATTTGTATTTGAGAGTATGTCGTACCATCTTTGTGTCGTATTGTACTGACTAAGTGAAAATAATTTTTCCAAAATTTTTTCTAACATTTTGTTGCTGCATTGCATTTGCATTGTTTTTTTCATGGAAATTTTTAATTTTCTAGAAAACTGAAGTGTTTGTAGATGTAAATCGTATACCAATATTTAAGAAACAAGTTCGACCAATCGTTGAACAAGAAGAATATGAATCGCGACGTGTATGGAAGGAAGTAACCGCTGGACTCAAGTAATCATCTTTTTTATTATTATATTTAATTATATTAATTATTATTATTAATTTGCATAATATATAAACAATAGGGGGATATTGTGGTGAAGAAATAAGAATGAATGAAAAATTATCATTATAAAAAAATAGTCACAACAAAATATTGAAAATATTCTTAAAATATCCTCTATAGTCCTTGAAAAAATGATTTTAAATAATCCCCGCGAGCTTATAGTCCTTGAAAAAATGATTTTAAATAATCCCCGCGAGCTTATAGTCCTTGAAAACATTATTTAAAAAAATATTTTAAAAAATTCCCGCGAGCTTATAGTCCTTGAAAAAAAATATTTTTAAAGAATTATTTTAAGAATCCACGCCTGTCTACAGTCCTTAAAGAAATTATTTTAAGAATCCACGCCTGTCTACAGTCCTTAAAGAAATTATTTTAAGAATCCACGCCTGTCTATAGTCCTTAAAGAAATTATTTTAAGAATCCACGCCTGTCTACAGTCCTTAAAGAAATTATTTTAAGAATCCACGCCTGTCTACAGTCCTTAAAGAAATTATTTTAAGAATCCACGCCTGTCTACAGTCCTTAAAGAAATTATTTTAAGAATCCACGCCTGTCTATAGTCCTTAAAGAAATTATTTTAAGAATCCACGCCTGTCTATAGTCCTTAAAGAAATTATTTTAAGAATCCACGCCTGTCTATAGTCCTTAAAGAAATTATTTTAAGAATCCACGCCTGTCTACAGTCCTTAAAGAAATTATTTTAAGAATCCACGCCTGTCTATAGTCCTTAAAGAAATTATTTTAAGAATCCACGCCTGTCTATAGTCCTTAAAGAATTATTATTTTAGTCCTTAAAGAAATTATTTCCACGCCTGTCTATAGTCCTTGAAAAAAAAAATATTTTAAAAATCCACTCCTGTCTATAGTGCTTGAAAAAAATATTTTAAGAATCCACGCCTGTCTATAGTCCTTTGGTGTTGAAAAAAATCTGTAAATCCCAATCCACCACAAAGTCCCCAAAATTCATTTATATATATTTTATTATTTAGTTTACAAACCCATATTAAATTTAAATCGTATATTTGTTTTCCATAATTAATCCTTTCTTCTTTTCTCCAAGATTCAATGACATTGAAAAGGCAACAAATGCCAAATGTAAAGTCGAACAAATACAACGAGACGCCGCCAAAGCTAGAAAAGATTCTGAGATATCATGGGATCATAAGGTATGCATACCCGAACACTAAAGTTTCTTTTAAATTAATTTCCAAATCTGATTTCTTTCTGTTTTCAGTATTTCAAGCCAGTGGGTGAAAATTGGATCTACACCAAACCCCTCAGTCAACGCCTATATCTAAAGGAAAAGGAAGATCAAAGATAATAAAGCTTGAGACGACGACGAAGTGTTGTAATGTTAATAAGAAAATGCGCAATGAAATATATAGTTTAAATAACATGTCACATTTCCTAGCCACCAACACCACGCCCACAATCCCAGTGTTAATTCATTGTAGAAGAGGAAGAAAAACAAAAGTTAAAACACCACCCCACCACCACCATTATCTCGTTTTCCTTTTCCATATCACAAACAAACAAAGGCCGCCAAAATGAACACCAGATAATGTAAAAAAATTAAATAATATGTTTATTTTTCAAAAAAGTCTTCAAACACACATAAACACATAACCTCGAAACTACTACAAATTTTATGTATTAAAAAAGAAGAAGAAGAAACAAAACAAAGCCTACAACAACAAAAGACATGTCATCATTATTATTATTAATAACACTATTATAGAACAACCACACACAACATACATACAAACATTTGAATTATATTGTTAAATATTATATATACAAAAAAACATTAACTAAAACAAAATAAAACGAAAGCAACAAATTACACCAACAACAATATAAATAAATTAATTTAAGGGAATAGAAAACAGCAACAACAATAATCCCCCTTTTTAATTTTTAATATGAAGGGCAAAGTAAGGATAATATATCGTATACAACAGCAAATAAAAACAAAAAACACCCTCAATATTATTATTATTGTTAATAACAACAGACACAACAACCACACATTTTTTAGTTCGTTAGTATTACAAAAATAAAAATTTGCAAACACAAAACCACATTATTAAAATGCAAAAATATCTTATATTTATATATAAATAATACCAAACAAAAACACACACAGTAATACTAAGCAAACAAAAAGCGACAACTTTTTGAAAAGTATTTTATAGAAATTATTTTTAAATTCAAAATTGTCGATAATTCTTTTCTTCATTAAAATTTGGTTTTAAAAATTAATCCACAAATCTCTTTTTTTGGCCACGCATTTATATGGCCATTGAAAAAAGTAAACAAATTCAAATTTAAAGAAATTATTTTAAGAATCCACGCCTGTCTATAGTCCTTAAAGAAATTATTTTAAGAATCCACGCCTGTCTATAGTCCTTGAAAAAAATATTTTAAGAATCCACGCCTGTCTATAGTCCTTTGGTGTTGAAAAAAATCTGTAAATCCCAATCCACCACAAAGTCCCCAAAATTCATTTATATATATTTTATTATTTAGTTTACAAACCCATATTAAATTTAAATCGTATATTTGTTTTCCATAATTAATCCTTTCTTCTTTTCTCCAAGATTCAATGACATTGAAAAGGCAACAAATGCCAAATGTAAAGTCGAACAAATACAACGAGACGCCGCCAAAGCTAGAAAAGATTCTGCAAGCAAACAAAAAGCGACAACTTTTTGAAAAGTATTTTATAGAAATTATTTTTAAATTCAAAATTGTCGATAATTCTTTTCTTCATTAAAATTTGGTTTTAAAAATTAATCCACAAATCTCTTTTTTTGGCCACGCATTTATATGGCCATTGAAAAAAGTAAACAAATTCACAACCTTTGTTGGTTTTAGAAAAAATATTTACAAAAAACCACAACTTCAGCTGTTTTTAGAAAAACTATACTTTGTAGTTACTAAAATTATATTATACTTTTCACGTGGATTTTTCAAATAATTTTTTTCAATGACTACGGACAGGCGATAGCTATTGACAGACATGTATATTTTTTAATAGGACTATAGACTGGGGTGTTTATTATTACGTTTCTATAAAATACTCTTCGAAACCACTAAACAGAAAACTTACACAAAATAACTGAATATTTACACACAAATGAAACAAAAGAAAATAAAACATTAAAAAAATACACACACATCTATTAATTCTATACAAAACAAATTTGCAATTTTCTATTTAATGAACACCGAATAAGTTAAATTAATTTCCTTCCAATAAAAAAAAAACACCGCCGCCAACAAACACACACACATTCCTAAACTCCCTGACACTCCTTAACACCTCCAAAAGTTCCCTACCAATATTTTCTTTTCGAATTAAGTCTACAATTTATAAAATAAAAAAATGATAACAATAATATATAAACAATATATAAAGTCTAACAAACGAGATACAAACATAACTCTTTTTTTTAAATGGTACTTTAAAAAAGAAAAATAAAAAAAACAAAGCTATTTTTTCATAGAAATTAAAAACAACAACAGATCTACATTTAAATAAATGTTAGCATAGAACTCCTATTGAAATTTAAACGAAACGAAAAATAAAAAAGCAAATAAACTGAATATCAAATGTATTCAAAATGTGTATTTTTTTTTAACGTTGAAGTTAAGTTACGAAGGTGAGTATATTATGGATATATTTTTTTATCCACGTTTTTAATGGCCTTTAATAATATAAAAACTAGCATCATAATAGATTTTAAAAAAAATATGGCTATAGGCTCGCTTGGATTTGTTAAACATATTTTTCAAGGACTCTATATGAATACACTTTTTAGGCGTCTTTTTAAATAACTTTTTATGAACTATTCACTGGCGTACACTTTTTAAAATAATTTTTCAGTGATTATTGGCAGTTGTGAATTTTTAAAATAATTTTTCCGGGGCTATTAACAGGGGTGGCTTGCGGGATTTTTTAAAATAGTTTTTTCATGGACTATTGACAGGTGTGACTTTTTTTAAAATATTTGTTTTCCGGGTCTATTACCAGGCGTGGCTTGCGCGGATATTTTAACATATTTTTTTGAAGACTATTGACAGGCGGGGATTTTTTAAATAGCCTTATAAATTTTTTTATTTTATAATTTTTGGTTTTTTATAAATTTTAACTAATAGGTACATATGTAACCTTTAAAATGAATATACATATGACATACTATAAGCTTTATAAATATATTTTATTACTGTTTTAATGGACGAACTCAAAGTGTTCAAAACTACCCCCCCAGGGGGGCAGCTTTGAACAGGGGTTGACATTTTAGAACGACATGGTTTTTTACAGTGCTTATGCTCAAATATGTATGTATTTTATTCATACATATCAGAAATACATGAATTCATTAAAAAATATATAAAAAATGTTCAAAATTTAAAAAAATTAGATCAAAATTTATTAAAACATAAAATGACTTAAAAACAAAAATTAATATTTTATGGGCGCTGTTCAAAGGTGCCCCCCTCTCCCCTACTATTAATTGGCAAGGAATTTTTAAAACAATTTCTTAAGGACTATTTAAAGACTATTGACCTTTTTAAATTTTTAAAATTATTTTTTATTTTTAATAAATATTTTTTGGATTTTCTTAATAACTTTTTTAAATTATTTTAATGTTTTTTTTTTGCATATGTTATTGGATTTTTGCAAATATTATATAAATTCTAATAACTATTTTAACTTATTTTTTTAATATTTTCATTTTATTTCCAATAACTAACAACAAGTTTTATTTTTTGGATTGTATTTCATTTGTTTTCATATCAACAATTTCATCTCATGTGAACATTGTATTAGTATTGCCTCTCTTCGGCAAATCATATGTTTTGCCATAACTACATGACAGTGTATGGATTGTTGTTGTTGTTTTTATTTGCTTTTTATTTCACCTGGTTGTGTATAGGGCGCGCCATCAGTTGTTTACTATCAAGAGACAGACGCGCAGTCCAAATACCAACAATCGAACGACATTTAATGTTAATAATTTTGCAATTGTTTTTATTATAAAGGGTAATTGTTGTGTTTTGATTTCATTACATTGAAGAGAGAGATAGATATTCGTGTGTGTTTGTGTGTGCGAGAGAATGATTAAGTTGTCAAATAAAAAAAAGTGTTATGTACTGTGAACTGCTGTGTAGCTTCTTTGAATAAAGTTCAACAAAAAATACAATATAAAACAATTCCAAGCTATATTGTTGTTGTATATCAAAATAAAACAACCCGAATAACAACAACAATAAACCACCTTACCTTGTAATAATGGCTCAATGTGACGTCAAGGACGTAGCCAAGGCTGTAACGCGTAAAACATATGAATAGGCGTTGATGCACAATATCATCGACGAGGTCATACCAGATTTACTGCCACCACCAGCGTTGCTCTGTTCCCAAGATGACTCTGAGACACATTTAACACGTGGAGATTTCCTCTACTTCCACTATGGTTGCGATGGTTTCCATGATCATGGTTGGGGTTGTGCCTATCGTACATTACAATCAATGATATCATGGATACTGCACAAACGTCAATGGCAGTCCGTGTTGAGTGTACCATCATTACGGGAAATACAAGAAACTTTAGTTCGTATCGAAGATAAACCTGCCCGTTTTGTGGGTTCTCGTGATTGGATTGGTGCCTTAGAGGTATTCTACACTGTCGATACTCTGTACGATGTTCCATGTAAAATTTTACACATAACCCGTTCGGAAGATTTAAATCAACATATTCCGGAACTTGTGCGCTACTTTCGTGATTATGGTGGTTTTGTTATGATGGGTGGTGATATGGATGCAGCTTCCAAAGGGATAGCGGGTGTTCACACTAATGGCCGGGATTCATATTTGCTTATTGTGGTAAGTAGCTGTTAACCTAAGTACTATTGTAATTTATTTATTCATAAAAAAAAACAATTTCCTTCTAGTTAATGTATTCCCTACTGAAAAGTTTCCAAGATTTTAACTTGAATGTCAACAGCCATTTAAGTACAACCACAACAAATGTTATAAACATTTTTCAATATAGATCTTCTAAAAGTAGTACGTTTTATATGTATCGTATGTGAACAAGCCAACAAGTCGTTGACGTTTTTTTTCTGTTAAGAAATATTATGCAAATTAGCTTAGTTCACTCACAATGGCTTAATATCAAGTTTTGTATCGTCTATCCAAACACTGACACTTTTGAAGTTCATGGTTGATAGAAATTCACTGATAGGTGTATTAGAATTCGGTAGAGTTCAAAGTCAAGCGTAAGAATTGTATGATACCCACTTAAAATTTTCAACACTAAATGTACTTGTATTTTTTTAGGTAATTTAAACATTATTAATGACTTTGTCAACGATTCTAATTCGGAATTCAAGATGTGTAGCGCAAAATACGAAAAAAAAAATTACAACAATGCCTGTATGAATCCGGCAACGCAAATATATTTCCAGATGACAGATCATATTGAGGAAAATTACCACTTGTCCTGGATTCTCTGCTCGGAATCATATTTGCATCCTTAAAACTTAATATGGAGGGCATTGAGCCTCATTGCATTTAAGATCGCATTTAAAGCATATTGAGCATATGTCTTATAATTTAGGCACGTCGTGATTTTAAAAGACTCGCAACTCGCAATTCTTAAGAAAGAGATTATATTATGTATGTATTGGTCCATTTTTTAGTATATCCCCCAATTAACGGTGTCCTTCCATTTCATGATATTTTGATTATAATTTCATATTTTAAGTTCTCATTGTTGGCGGCCGCACAGCCATATAAGGCCGGCCGTGGGTACCGCCCCAATGAAAACCGATGACGACCTCATCGATTTGCAACTTTAGGTCATGATTAGCAAATCTTCCTACGCATAATATTTATTATTGATGTACTTTTTGGAATATTCCTCATATAAAAGTATCTTCCAAATTTGGATATTTTGGGCAGTTTGGTGCCGTTTTTTTAACCAATTTGGTTGTAATTTATTATTTTGGATTATAATTGGGTAGCAAATTCTCCTCCCAAAAATGATCAATTTGGGTTCATTTTTAAGGTAGCACCCTATAATGGTAATTTCCGAATTTCGATACCTTTGTGTCCTATGTTCTCATAGGATAGTAAATCTTCCTACCAAAAATTGTAAACATTGGTTAAATTTTTAAGGTCGCCTCCATATAACGTTACTTTCCGACTTTCTATATTTTTGGGTCTTTGAGTATGTTTTTCAAACAATTTCGCTGTAACATGTTAATTTATGTTCTCAAAGGAAACAAATCTTCATACCAAAAATGATCAATATTGGTTCACTTTTTAGGGTTGCCCCCATACTTTCCGAATTTCAATATTTTTGGGTCTTTGGGTATGTTTTTCAACCAAATACGCTATACCTTGGTATTTTAGGTTCTCTGAAGAACCTGATGAACCTGAAGAACCTTCTGAAGATAGAAAATCTTCTTAAGAGTTGCCCCCACATAACGGTACTTTCCGAATTTCGATATTTTGGTGTCTTTCGGTATGTTTTTCAACTGAATTTGTTGTAATTTGATATTTTAGGTTCTCATAGGTTTGAAAATCTTCCTACCTCCTAAAAGTATCAATATTGGTCCAATTTTTAGGATAGCCTCATATAACGGTACTTATCAAATTTCGGAATTTTGCAAAATTGTAGCATCAAAATGGCTGTAGTTCAGAATTTTGGATTGTAAAAAAATAATAGATATTGGTCCACTTTTTGATATAGCTCCCCTATATGGGATCTTCCCAATTTTCGATATTTTGAGAAGTTTGATCACCAAATTGGGTGTAATTTAGTGGATTATTATTTTGTTCATAATATTTACTGTAGTTTAGAATTTTTGATTCTCATTGTAACAAATTTTCGTAACAAAAATAGTCCTTTTTTTGAAATATTATTTTGAGAAGTTTGATCACCAAATTGGCTGTAAATTAGTATTTTGGATTATTATTGTCTTCATACCAAAAATTAATATTATCGATATTGGTCCACTTTTTGTTTAGCCCCATATAACGGCACCACCTTCCAAATTTCAGAATTTTGTGAAATTGTGGCACGTTTCGCAACCAAATTGAATGGAATTTAATATTTTGGACTTACATTGGGCCAAAAATCATAAATATTCGATTTTCTATTGATTCATTAAAGCGAATCTAGCCGAAAGGGCCATGAGCGACTCATCTCTAAAAAAATATTAATAAAAACATTTACATGAATGATCCCACCCTAAAAATGCATAGAACTCAAAAATTCAGCGTAAGCCCGCCCGGGATTTGGCATCTCTTGAATGTTCTCCGCCGCCTTAGCGTTCAAAGCCACCTCCTTATCTTCCTAAGGTTGTAGTCAGTATGGAAAGAAAGTCCGTCACTACAAGAAAAATCTGCTTTGAAAAGAAATGTTCTGGTGTGATGCCAAATGTCCGAACCTTGACACGGTTGAATTTAATTCGTAGATGCAAGTAACGACATTTGTAAGACACATTGCAATATATGCCAGATGAGCCGCTTAACCAGCGGCGAAACGCGTCGCATAATGGTGGGAATGTAGTATCTCTCTGGCTTTCCTTTTCATTGCAACTCCGATCATGTAGCTCATCTCGAAAGAGAAATTAATAAAGAACATTTACATGAACCTTCGCCCTAGAAAGGCATGAAACTCAAAAAATTCTGTACCGAATTGGCTCAAATTTGATATTTTTGGAATCTCATTGGGTGTCACATCTTCCTACCAAAAATTAAAGATATCATAGTCGCCATATAAAAGTCCATATTGATTTTAGGTGTTTTGAATGTCCGATATTTTTTATTTTACTTTTTTCATGTTTTGCCAAAAAGGGTAAAACCCTATTTTGAGTCCGAAAAAAATTACGTTCGATATAAATTATTATAATCTTTATTGATATATGCTTGTTAACTTATGATTTATGTATTTTTTTTAAATGCCTTTTTTATTTCAAAATAAGCTAATAGAACTTCTATATCGTTTCCTTTATTTTCAGGATCCCCATTATTCTGGCATACCATCCACAATCGATGAATTAATTAAAAAGGGCTATATACGTTGGCAAAATACTAAAGAATTTGTCGATAGTTCCTTTTATAATCTTTGTCTACCATATCTTAAATAAAACAAAATATATTTCTATTTGAAATAGACAAAAAAGAATATATATCTAATTTTATTTTCATTGTGGGGAACTGTTAACAAATTCTTCGGATTGTGCCTAGCAAAGGCTAAGTAGCCAACAATAAAAAAAAATAAATAATATTTTAAATTATATTTTTAGATATGCAACAAAAATAATTACAGACAGAAGCGAATAACAAACGAACGCAATATTAAAACCAAAGTGTAATGTACAAATACAACAAGTTATATCATAATAATTAATAACAAAAACAACAAACGTTAATACTCTAACGACAATAACAACAGCGACGCCAAACAACCGCAGCCACAGCAGCAGCACGGGCAACAGTTACGGCCAAAAGAAAATAGGAGAAAAAACGCTGAAAAAGAAATTGATAAACAATCATTCAGCTGCTAACAATAACAAGTCTACGAGCATGCTGAACAGTCAACGCAATAAAGCAATAAATATAGTCCCGATAAGCGGCCTATGAATTATGTGTATGTAATTAGAATTCAATATTCTTCACAAGAATGTAGTGGCAATTAAACAAAAGTGGACTACAAAACCCAGTTACAAGACATGTCCTTAGACGAATGGAAACGAGAAACCTCAACAAAAGTGCAATAACTCAATACAAATAAGTAATTATCGATAATATTAAAAAAACATAGAAGTGTAACCTCCTCCTCCAAAAAATGGACTTCTTTCCACGCTTATTTTGGACACTATTGGGTACAGCATCACTGTGTTATTTTGCAATCAATGTGGCCTTGGGCTATTGGAAACGTCGTGGCATACTACATGAGAAGCCGAAAAAACCCTGGGGCCACTTAAAAGGCGTCGGGCGTAAACGCCATATAAGCGAAGTTCTACAATCGTTATATGACAAATACAAAGGTCAGGCACCATTTGTGGGTTTCTATGCTGTACTGAAACCAATGCTACTGATATTAGATCTCGAATCTATACATTATATACTGCTTAAAGATTCCAAATATTTTATGGATCGTGGACTATACTACAACATACAAGATGACATACTCTCACAAAATCAACTACAAATGGATGGTCCCGATTGGCAGCACATGAATCTAAAATTAAAATCTCTACAATGGCAAGAGAAAATACAAAAAATGTTACCAGCCTTGCTTAAAGTTCAACAGACATTTGCCAATTCCCTCAAGGATCAAATACCCAGCTCTCAAGTCAAACAAAACATCACCGAATTGGTAGAGGGTTTTAACATTGATTGCATTTCTTCGTTGGCATTTGGATTGGAGGGCGATTCACTGCGTTATCGTAATACCCAGTTTCATAATATGTCTAAAGCGTATACGAAAAGGAATTTCAATATTTTCAAAGCATATTTGGCCTTCTGTTTTCCCTCATTGGCTAGACTACTGCAATACTATATGTACTCACCGGAGGCTACACAATATTTTCAAAAACTCATATCGGATAAATTGAATGAACGTGAATATCAACATACGCAATCGTTGCAATATGACTTTTTACAATTATGGTGTGATTCGCGTAAAATAAGTCAACGCAATCAGATGTTTAAGAAATTTGAAAATCAAGAAATTGTCGGTCAGGCATTTAGTTTTATTTTGGCTGGTCTGGAATCCTCAACATCAACGTTGGCATGTTGCCTCTATGAAATGGCTCTACAACCGGAAATACAAAACAAGGCACGTAAAGAAATTCAGGAGGTCTTGGGTGCGAATAATGGAAAAATAAATGAGGATACCCTAAAGGATTTGATATACCTGAAGCAGATATTAAATGGTAAGTGAAGGAGATTTTTTTTATCTAATGTAGAAATTATTATTAGGCACTATTAGGTATTTTAGGTTATCATAGGATAGCAAATATCCTAACCAAAAATTAGCAATATTGTTACACTTTTTAGGGTAGCCACCAAATAACGGCTCCCCTCGAATTTCGATATTTTTGGGTATTGAAGCATTTTATTTTTCAACGCAACTGACTGTAATTTAGTATTTTGGATTCTCATTAGGTGGCAAATCTTCCTTCGAAAAATTCTCAATATTAGTCCCCGTTTTAGGGTACCTCCCATATAACGTTATATCCCCAATTTTGGTATTATGGCCACGATATTCAACCAAAAATTAACAATATTGGTCCACATTTTAGGGTAGCCACTATATAACGTTATCTCCCCAAATTCGTTATTTTAGGGAGTTTAGGAACGTCGTTCCACCAAATTGGCATTAACATGGTATTTTCCTTTCTCATAGGATAGAAAATCTTCCTACCAACAATTATCAATATTGGTCCACTTTTTAGGGTTAAACCTCTATGACGGTACTTTCCGAATTTTGGTTCTTTGTGTTGTTTTTCAACCAAACTTGGTATTTTAGGTTCTCATAAGCAAACATACATTCTATGGGGAAAAATTTTATTTCAGGGGGGGCAGGGCTCCCCTCTCACTACGTCGTTGGGTCCGGAATATAGTTCCAACATTTTTTTTTGGTATTGTGACGGGCCTAGGTGAATTTTTATACATACACTTCCACTTATGTTAGGTTATTAACGTTTTTGTTTTATTTATTTGCTCAAATTTAACATTTCTTCTTTTTTCTTTTCCTCTTTTTCAGAAACGCTTCGCAAACACTCACCCTATCCATTTCTATTGCGGCTCACCACCAAAGATTACGAGCTACCCAATTCAGTATTTATGCTACAACAGGGTAATCATTTAATTATCCCCATCTCAGCCATACATAACGATTCAACCTATTATCCCAATCCGGATAAATTTGATCCAGAACATTTTCATTCCACAGCAGTTGAAAAGAGGCCGGCGTGTGCATTTTTACCCTATGGCATGGGGCCACGGGCATGTATCGCACAGTATTTTATACAACAACAAATGTTGTTGTGCCTTGTTACGTTGCTGCAACGTTATGCATTTACAACGTGTGAGGAAACCACAATACCTCTGACCTATGACAATGCCAAATTGTTGAAGAAACCTAAAAATGACATTTGGTTAGCAATGGAAAAGCTTTAATGGCGGTGCGGCGGTAGTGACTATATACGTTTATGTGCGTGCGTGTGTTCGCACTCGGCTCAATTGGGGGATTCATTGCAAAGAAATTGGATCAACAAGAGTTTTTTTATTTATTTTGTTTTAATGTACGTTTTGTTTTTATTTTTTTCTATCCAATAGCTGTGTGCTTTATGCGTGTGTATTTGTATTAGTGTAAAACGCAAATTGTTGTAAACTTTTATATGTCTGCTTTTTTATTTATAAAATCATATAAGCTAGTTATAAATGCCTTCCATGAACGATGAACGCTTTTGCAGTAAATAATTGTGGTAATTACAAACCCATGTTTTGTAATAAATGTTTTGAAAGATAGGAAATAACAAAGCTAATCTAAATCAGCTCATACCAACCTTTAAGGTTTGTAAACATATTCCACTGTATTTTTTATATAAATTAATTATTTAATTTTGTTGTATAACAAAAAAAATTATTCCAAACAATTCGTTAAAAAAGTATTAAACTTTAGTGGTAGTAACTACACTATGTTTATGTTTGAACGACCTATTTTGGAGTTTTGTTGTAAGTCATTAAATCGTGGATTCAACCACAGTCTTTTTTTATCGATAGAAATCGTATTGGCCATAGTTTAATTAAAACACAATATATGTTATGTATTTGTTTCGCTTTATATAGCTTGTGATAAAAAAACATATTTGAAATAATTCATTCATTTACTTACTTTATGTATTGTTTTGCGCTTTACCAATTGTTATAGTGTTTTGTTTTATTCATTATGTTGTTTGCTTATTTTATTATTTTAATTCGCTTTATATCGTCTGTATTGCTGGGGACTAATTTATATACCATCTATTCAAATATATGAATAGAAATATATATATTTTCTAAGAATATATATTTAAATATTATTGTAAGAAAGAATACAATAGCTTATACATTTTAATTGTAAATAAAACGATATATGTAAATTTAAAAAAAAAAAAACTAATTTTTCTTTATTCAATATTAACATTTTTCCCTGTTACTCCTTTTGGGAGCATAGGGAGGTTTCCACAAAGCATCGCCATCTTACTCTGTTAGTTGCTGTTTGACATCTACGGAAAATCTACGATATTTTGAATTTTATGAATTACAGATATGTATGTAATGGTTGCGGCGCTACAGGAAACAAAGCTGAATAACACCTGCAGTCTTCAGTGTTGTGATGGATACAAAGTTTTAATAAATCCTTATCTCCCCAAATTCGGTTTTAGGAGTTTGGGTACGTTGTTCCGCAGAATTAGCTGCAATTTGATATTTTAGGTTCTCACAGGGTAGCAAATCTTCCAAGCAATATTATCAATATTAGTTCACCTTTTTAGGCTTGCCTCCGTATAACGGTACTTTCCGAATTCCGAAATTCTTGGGTCTTAATTCGCTGTAACTTCTTATTTTAGCTTCTCATAGGATAGCAAATTGTCCTACCAAAAATTATAAATATTGGTTCACTTTTTAGGGTTACCTCATATAACGCTACCTGCGTTATTTCGATATTTTGGGGAGTTTGGGTACGTTGTTCCGCAGAATTGGCTGTAACTTAGTATTTTAAGTTCTCATAAGATAGAAAAGTATTGGTTCAATTTTTAGAATAACCATAAATTAGCTGTAGTTTAGTTTTTTGGATTATCTTGTGTAACAAATGTTTTGCAGAAATGATAGATATTGTTCCACTTTTTGTAATAGCCCCCATATAAGGATTGCAATTTAGCAAATTGGCTGCAATTTAGTGTATTGCATACTTATTGTGAAGCAAATCCTTACTTACTTAGCTGGCTTATGATAGGGCGATTGTTCCATAAGCCGAGTTAAAAAAAGATTTCCATGCGCGTCGGTCTTGTGCGCATCTCATCCAATTTGAAAGACTATTTTTAGAGATGTTGTCTTCTACTTGATCTTTACATCGGATTCGTGGTCTTTCCCTTCTGCGTGAACCATCAGGTGGTTCGTTTTTATATGCCTTTTGCGCTGGGGCATCTTCATCCATTCTCACAAGATGGCATAGCCAACGTAGTTTATTCGACGGCCATATTCACCATCTACGCAGATAGGCCCATAGATTTTCCGGAGATTTTTCTCTAAAAAACTCCACTCGGTATTGAAGGGCTCCGATAAATACTTTCAGACTTTAATCGACTTTATGGTCGTCGAATAGGTGGAATGTGTTTTTCGTGGGTTTTTTCCAGGATCAGAAAAAGTTCCAATTTTGACACAATTAACCCTGGAATAGTTCGTTTCTTGTATTCGCGGAGTTTACCCCATGACCATTTTGACAATAGCTCTAGTCCACCTTGCATGATATCGGATATCCTGGATAGAAACTTAATACTTATCAACACGAATACACCACGATAATTCTATTTATCACCAGGAGCCAGAACAGGGGTGATTAATCCCACCTGCGGTATACCCCTATGGAACTATCCCCAATTTTTGCATTTATTATTCTGATTTTCAGCATTGCATTAACCCAATTCACTAGAGTAGAGAGAGCCGGATTTCTTATCCACTGTACGGCATCGAGTTCTACGATACCGAATTGACGCGATTCATCTCGGCCAACAGCTGCCACTCCAGTTATATATGTTTGTACTAAGATAGATTCCAGTTTGAAGTCTTAAGAGTTTCTAATGTCTAGGTCCAGTAACCTTTCCATTGTCTTTAATAGAGAGGACGAGATACTAATCGGTCTGTAGTCATTAGGCAAAGTGTGGCTTGGCTCTCTTATCTACACGGACTAGGTATGTAGAAAAATCCAGCTCCCATCGTTATTGTTTTTAAAACTTGGGTACTAAACTTCATCCTTTCAAAAAACTGCATAGACAAACTTCCGGGTGTGACTATACATTAATACTAATAATAATTTAATACAAACAATTACCTACCTCACCATTATGCTTTCGCCCAAAATGATGACTAAGTTCGATCAAAAACTGCAATATTTTGTTTTGAATGTATTTGCGCTTATTGTTGTTGTTGTGGTTTTATTATATTATTGTAAACTCTTATTTGTAGAAAAATGCATTTCTAGGGAATTATTATAAGTATTATTGTTTATGTTTGTGTGTTGTGTTTAAAGCATATTTTTAGCTTAAAACAAATTATTAGAATATATATTTATTATACTTATGCATTAGGGTAAAAATTGATTTGAAATAAAAGGTGGTGGTGTACTTGAAGAAAAGACACAAATGATTTCATCCATGACGTACATAGCCCATGTTTCTCCTCTCCACCAGTCAATACTTCCCGTGTTATACGTTGCTCTCCGTCCCATTTATTTCCACACAATCTATGTCAGTGTCTCGCCTGTGGTCACACATGCCTCCAAATAGTCGATACGTCTTTCCAAAGTGGTCAATTTTTCGTTTAGAACAGCTAGGCGTGAACGGCAAGACATATCAAAAGAATTGAGGAAATCTGTAATTCTCTTAATACTGGCTGTTATCACTTCGATATATTCACGATTTGCCCAATCCTGATGGATTTGTTTTTGTACAGCTTCCCGGTGAGCGCCACTCATGATCAAGGAGATTGTTTAATTATTTTTATTTCTGCAAAATAAAATCGCCCGAATTTTTCTTGTGGTGCGAGTGATTCTTTACTTTGCCCTTTTTAACCGATCAAAATTAAAAACGTTCCATCTGCTACAAAAGAAATGAGAAGAGAAAAAAGTAAGAATGCCTGATAAAGAAGAAAGTCAAAGCGAACAGACAAATATTTACGAATGGGATGTGATGAATATCGCTTGAGAGTGAGACGTTAAATTGTTCAATTGAATGATTCACAGAAAAGAGCTACAGAACTAAATCCTTGGTTGTCCTTTTTTACATACCTATATTAAAACCGCTCCACCTGCTCCAAAACAAATAGGGAGAGAACGAAGGAATTGCTGATAAAAAAGGAAATCGCCTTGACAATATTTACGGATGCGATATGATGGATATCGCTTGGGAGAAACTGTGAATAAAGATGAGAGGCATTACGTTAAACTTTTCAATTGAACGATTTACAGAAAATACCGACAGAACTAAATCCGTATTGCTGTCCACTGTAAAATGGTTACCCATCGTGCTATCCACCGTGCAATCCGCTACGGCCATACCAAAATACATTCCAAGAGTTCCTTGAATATTCTACACAACATTCACTGAAACCCCACGTATTGAGTCCTCGAATATTCTATAAAAATAAATCAAACCTCCCCGACTTGAGTTTTCTGAATATTCTACATAAATGGTCCGCTCCAGAACTTCAAGAATCTATTAGTGTTTACTACGATAACAAATTTTTCTTTATGATATCAATGAAAATAGTACAAATTAGTAGATTTTTGCAGTACGGGAATAGACCAAAACTTCATAAAAAATGCAATTTAATAAAAATAAATGGTCTGTTCCCGTACTACTACTTTTTACTACGATAACGAATTTTCCTTTATGATATCGAAGAAAATTGTAAAATTTAATAAAAACCAAAATTTAATAGTGGTCTGTTCCCGTACTGCAAACATCTACAAGATTTTATTATTTTCTTTGATATAATAAAGGAAAAAGTAGTAGTAGTAGCCCACGCCTTAACATTGATTAAAAACCGACGTATTGAGTCCTCTGAATATTCTACAAAAGCGTCATTAAAAATAAATGCTTTGAGCACCCAGTATTGGAATGTTTCCGTACTGCAAAGATCTACTAATTTTTACTATTACTTCGATATCATAAAAGAAAAATTGTTATCGTATTAAAAAATGTGCATTCATACAGGTTCCGAAACAGATTTGTTCCAGAACATGCAAGAATCATCTTTTAATTGAAATTGTTTTAATTTTTGCCTTTATAATTTTTTGATTACGAGAACAGACCAATAGTAAAAAATATAAAAAAAATACCTGACTTCATTACAAAAAACTCATAATAAGTCCAGACTGTTACCTCTCTGTCAAAGAATTTATTGGAACATCCCCCGCGTTGAAAATTTGCAAAAATTCTTTCAAAACATCACAATTAAAATACAAACCTATTATTATTCTTCAAATCGATAACGAAAAAAAATCGATTTTATTTTTTGCAACTCCAAAAACTCGATCACTCGATTGGCCAAATAACGACCTATAGATACCTGATGCCTAATGGGTAGAAAAATATGAATGCAGAATGAGAAATAAAGCGGACCGGACTGTGAAACGCGTCGCGTCAATGTAAAACGAACAAGCGCCCGTCGAAACAAATCAACAAAAATCAAACCAATTTATAAAGTAATAACAACAAAAACAACAACCAAAAATATTCTGTTTCTTTTTTGTTTTAATAATTTAACAAATAAATTGCAAAACAAATGGAATTTATAAAAGTAAAATAATAGATATAAAAATCTAACGAATTTTAAATGTAAAAAAAGTGTGAATGTAAGTTTCTCAATAAAAAATCTATTGTGTGAAAATCAAAAGAAGAAAATTTTTGCAAATTTTCTGTTTTATTTTGTGCTTCAAAAACGGAATAACTGTAAATTTCAAACGACAAAAAAGAAAAATCATAGAAAACAAAACGAGAGATGAAATGAAATCTTTGAAAAATTGCCTTAAAGAAAAGTGATTTTCTTATAAGAAAAAAATATATATCTAACTTACTAAAAGAAAATCGGAAAATTCTTAAAGAGATTTATTAGAAAAGGGAAACATTTCTTGTTTGCCAATTTTAAAGAGTTTTGTGAATGAGTACCATTGTCAGTGGTGTAGTAGTGGAGTGGGTCAGACATTGAAATCCTGTTTTCACTTATACTTCAAGCAGTCAGCATAAAAAACAAACAACAACAGCAGGAGCAGCAACAATAAATCAAACAAACAACTAGGAAGGTGTACGTTTATCCCATGTGTGTTTGTTTGTTCCCTGTTTGTCCTATGTGCGATGACCGCCACCGCCATCGAAGTTATACCTACCAAATATAGTTAAACAAAAAAAGTGAGTAGTAGTGCAGCCCTCAATAGTCCAGTCAGTGCATGGAATCCAAACAAAATTTCCAGTGTGTATACAATAACAACAATAACAAAAACATTTAAAAACGAAGTACGAAACAGAAAAATAAGGAAACTCCAATTTCCATCTTCCCCTTTTTGTGTGTTCTCCCAACAAAACTTCATACGAAATTCTGCATTCTTCGTTGTGTTGGTGGATTCTTCGTTTTTTTGGCAAACATAAACAAAACGACCAACTTCACAGACGGAGAGAGAGACTCTTTGTCCTTTTGACAACACAAATGGAGTTTGCTCTCTTTCTCTCTCCCCTAAATGGAATAATCGTTGTTTGTTAACTCCACTCACTTATTGGGGGTTGTTTTTGTTGTGCTGTCTGCCCGCCTTCTCCTCGTGCCAGACAAAACAAGGAAACATAATTTCAAATGAAAACAAAAATAACAACAACAACATCAAACATAACGTTTATGCATAAAACAACCTAATGAGTATTTGACAAATTGTAAACTTCAAATTAAGCCTCTCTTTTGGAGCAAAGTGTCAATTTCATATGATTAGTAAACTGTAAAATTGAAGTTATAAAAAAGAAGAAGAATTTCTGTCAATTGATTAGCAAAAAGCCCGCCATTTTTTTAAGAACAACCACCTTGACCAGTTTGCTTGCATTTTTTCTTCATCCAATAGAAAAGTTTTTGTATGTTTTCTGGAGAAATAAACCCCCACACATACATTCACATGAAAGTTATCGCCCGTCTATCACAATAGAATTGTCATCATTGTTTTTCATGTGACTGTGGAACACACAACAGCACCCGTAGGAAATTAAGGGAGGAAACGCTTAATTTATGCAGTTGTTGTTTTTGCAATACAACAACAACAAAACCAGTTGAAGTATCACAAAAACAAAAGTGTGTTCTCTCTCTTTTGTGCCGTCTTATAATTTCCCAATTTTTTTTGTCGCGGCAAACCTTTAAAAACTTTGCGTGAAATCTACAACAAGAGCAACAAAACATCTTCAATGGGTATTTGACAGCAATTGTCAAAAAGTGCATGTAAGTACCACTTGAGGCACGGCATATGTGTAAAGGATAAACTCAAAAACATTTCAAGTAATTTTAGATTTTTACCCCAACAACAACAAACACACAGCGAAACAAGAAGTTGCTCGTATTGTTTTTGTAATCAACTCAAAAACATTTTAATACTAAATGCAAGTAAGATGCAACAAAAGGTGCTGCTGCATGCATCAGGGTTGCTTCCTTGTCATTATCCTTTGTCGTCCTAATTTTGTGTGATTGTTCGACGACTGCCTGCAATTCTGCAAAGTGAGCTAATTATAATGCATTAACAACGAATGTCGTTCATCGTCCGTCCGTTCATCAGACCGCCCTTCTGATTGTCTACCAAACAAAACAATTGCATGCATGCATTTTTGGAATCCATTGTAAATAAAAATGCATTCGAAGGGATTCCTTTTTTTTGAAATTTTACGACAATCTTTTGTCTAACATATTGAGAGGCAAATTGCGATTTTGGAAAAATGGCAAAAATCGATGTTTAAAAATTAGCTGAAGAGGATTTTAATTTCCTGTGGAGTTTGTTGTTAAAATGTTAGAAATGCCAGTGATTTATAAGGAATTATTCCAAAACAGAATAAATATGAACGAAGGATGTAAAGAACGCGCTCTATGAAAAATACATTTTGTTTTCAAATGTTATTGGATTTAAAGCCTCGGTTGAATATTACATTTAAAATAGTAGTCTGCACCAAAATAATATTTTTTCATAAATATTTATTTTTAGGTAAATTATTAATTGAATTATAACTCCATATAAAAGGATAATAAAGCACAACAGCCCTGTATAAAAATAAATACAAAACTAAGAGGTTAAAAGCCCACAATAGAAACGAAAATACATATTTTCAATTTCTATTCAATTTTATTTAACTTGTAATTCAAAGCCTTCAGGCCCATTAAATCGAAAATCTCTTTAGAAGCTGGACAGTTCACAGTCAATATTTCAAGGAAATGATAAAAATTACAAGAAATAAGGAGTAGAAGAAGATGAGTCCAATGTTTAAGATTCAGTGACAAAAAAAAAAAATAAATCCAAATCTATAAGGTAGACACGAAAATATTTCCGAAAATCTTTTTAGATACTGGACAGTTGACATCAGTATTCCAAGAAAATCATATAAATTACATGAAATATATATTAAAGAGGAGCTGAAAAATGCTAGACTTTAGAAGATATTAGGGATATATAAAAGTTAACTTTTAATTTATCCACTTATTGTATTGAATAGTTAAATCCGTTTTCTAAGCGTAAACGTAATCGAAAAGGCGACCGACATTCGGCTTTACTCCGGTTTGGTAAAATTATGAATTCTGAAATTCAATTATGACTGCACTTAATTTTTATCTAGGGGAATCAAAATATGTAATTCTGAATTTTGAAATTTTTAATACGAAAAGCTTCTTTGAATCAAATTAGTTTTAAACAATTTGAAATCGATTTACAAATTTCCGCGCCTGTGGCTGGCTGGCTGATGC